ATGAAGCTCTTGGTAAGTGCTTGGTGCAGCCGCTGACTTTGTACAGTAGGCTGGTGATGTTCAATGCACTTCGTACGTTTATGATACAGTGAGATTTAGGAATGGGTGGTATGTTGGATATAGAGAAAACAACTGCAAATTAGCCCTTGTAACTCATACTGGAAATATTATGTTGGATTTTGAGTTGCTTTACTGTGAATTTTTTGGGCAGGACTAAATCTAATTGTCCGTAGTAAATCTAATTGAAACTACATAAATATTCTTCATGAAGTTTAAGACCAATGAGTTAATTTTAATACACATGATTAGCTCTTTCAGTATAGATAATTTTTAAATATTTTGAAGCAAGGAAAGGTTCAGTCCATAGAAGCAATTTATAGTGAATTTGAAGTAATCAAGTTCAATCAGAGAAAGGGACGAATCGTTTATATATATATATATATATATATATATATATATATATATATATATGCACAATGAATTCGCAAGAGCAGGCGAAATATACACAAACACTGATCTCTGGCCGAGGGAGACTCGAACCTAGGAACCTTGGAACAAGGTACGGAGTGCTTTACCATTCTCACCAGAATGGTAAAGCACTGCGTACCTTGTTGCAAGGTTCGTAGGTTCGAGTCTCCTTCGGCCAGAGATCAGTGTTTGTGTGTGTGTATATGTATTATATATATAATATATATATATATATATATATATATATATATATATATATATATATGTATATATATATATATATATATATATATATATATATATATATATATATATATATATATGTATATATATATATATATATATATATATATATATATATATATATTATATATATATATATATATATATATATATATATATATATATATATGCAAATATCGCAAACCAACCTTATCCTCCCAGTCAGTGTGAGTATATCTCCCAAGTTATGAGAGTTGTGTGAGTGTGACAGTAGAAAGAAATCTTCATTACGTATTAGTCTAGTCTTGTGTTTGCTTGGTGGATATCCGTTTTCTATTCATACTTTGCAATTTCTATTGTGTTCATGTTTCATTGCACTTTTGGGTACTATATGGTTAAATTGTTTAAATATTTATTTTAGAGGAGAATATGAATAACGTATCCCAAGAGATTTACATGAAAACTTAGGATAAATCAACGTTTGCCTTAGCGACACCAGCAATTTTTAATGTCCTTTTCTAATGAAAATATATTTTAGTTGAAGTGAAGAAAATGGCCAGAGTTTGCTACCACCTGAAGCTCACAAGACTGCCATTCCCACGAGCCCCCCCTGAGGAGGTGAAGATGGCAGACTAAAAGTCTAGCTTCTTCCTACGAACCCTGTGAAGGGTGGGGGGGTAATAGGGCAAGGCCTGGTGACAGTTGGTCCCAGATGATGAGGTATTTGTCCCTCCTCCCTTGGTAGACATATTTCTCAGACACACCCAAGACAGGGAGCCAAGGCAGGGTCACCATCTGGAAAATACCCATGCCGGCAGAGTATCGGCAGAGTACCGTCAAATCAAGTAGAAGAAGAAGAAGCAGAAGAAACATTTTAGTGGCATTAATGCATTAATAATACCCATTAGGCCCGTACTGTATATTTCATTAGCACCCATATATTGTAATAACATTTATATCTACCCACTTTTTTTTATCTTACAGGAGTTTTTCTTAACAACATCCACATCCTGTAGTAGTAGTATTCTTCATAACAAAGTAAAAGTTTCATATACCGTTCAATTTACAAGCTATATCAAGATCATATAAAAGTGTAGCTCAAACATGTTTTACTACAACCTCTGAACAGTAATAACGCACAAGTGTTTACTTCTGCAACAGGAGTAACGAGACTTGCCTAAAGTTTCAACTTGTTTGGGATAGAACTTCCGTGCTTCAGGTCTGAGAAGAAAGAACTAAATCTAAGATATGAAACATATTTTGGTTTTCGTGTGGGATTTGCGTCAAAATAACACATCTCTAAATACCATGTATATCGTTGTAACGATCGCATGGTATCACAACCTCCTATTTGTTATATTTTGATTTGTAAAATATAATCCCCAATGGGTTAAGCGTCTCACTCGTACATAAAATAATCTAATGGAACCTTAACAGTTTAAAATTCTGCAATAAATGCTTTCATTATTCATCATGTAGAATTTTGATACCTTGTGGAGATCGTGTATGTAGGTCTATCTCATTTTTGAATGATCATACTTATCATCAAAATAATTTAGCGTTTAACAATCATACATGCATATATTTCATCTTTCAGATGTTGACTTGTTTACTGGCAGTCGCCACCGACTCAGTTCCTCATGGCTACAACCTAGACGCATCCTCTGGCACAGGGTTCTCTGCAGGCCCTTCTTTCGGTTCTGGCTTCTCAGGTGGCTTTGGATCTGGTTTCTCCTCAGGAGCATCAGGATTCTCTGGAGGTTCAGGAGGATCTGGTTTCTTCGGAGGTGGCTGCAGTTCTGGGCAGGTTCTCAATGTGGACGGCAGCTGTGTGACTCCTGTGGTCAGTCGCAATTTGTTTCTGTTCAATGCGCCAGCAGTTTCTCCAGTGGTTGGTCCAAAACCAAATGTTCCTCCACCCAAAATTGAGCATAACATTGTGTTCATCCGCACACCAGAGGGAGGCCAAGGACAAGAACCTATTATCGTCCCACCACCAAAACAGAAAAATATCGTGTACGTTCTCAACAGGATAACTGAGCAAGGCCAGAATGTCATCCAAGTACCAGCACCAGAGCAAGAGAGTCCTCAAGTATACTTTGTTAACTATGGTGAAGGAGACAACCCGTCTCTTCCTACCGGTGGAGACCTTCAGTCCGCCCTCAGCTCCGCCGCGCAAGGAGAAGGTGACGTGATTGACAACGGTGGTGGCGGTAGTTTGGGAGGTGGGTTTGGAATTGGCGGCGGAGGCTTTGTAAGCGGTGGTGGGGATGGGTTCGGGATTGGTGGTGGTGGTGGTGGTGGCGGCGGTGGATATTCAGCTCCCGTGTCTCAACCATCAACATTTTATTCTCAGCCATAAAAGCCAGAGCACCATATAAAATATATACTTTGATATGCACTTATATAATGCAGTAATGTTCGCCTATTTTTCCCCCTGAAGGCACCCATAGCTCATATATTTACGGCAAAACTATTACTGCAAATCGACTAGAGGTAATGAATAGAATCATGTCGTAATTTCTACAGCATCCCTGGCAGATATCCACGGTATTCCGGTAGGAAATCGCTGAACTGTGGTAATTTGTGGTGCTGAATTATGGTGCTGCTGACTATAATGAAGAAAAGACACATTGCTACAACGTTTACATCCGTTGAAATCTTTATCAGGAAATAAAGAGGGTAATATCGAAAAGTTGTCCCAGCAAAATTAAAAGGGACTTTTCTTCAGTATAAAGATGGATACTGTTTCTAAATGTTGATCACTATTGAACTCTACATCACAGTTTTTTGAATTTGCTAATTTTGTTGTTTAGCAGGAATTGTTAAAAATAAAGTGTTAAGTGTATGGTCAACTTTATTTGCCTTTTTTAATGACTAAGCTGCACAAATTTACAATAAAATAACTATGTATTTCGGTTGCTGCGTGTCTCGAGAAAGGTATCCTCATACTAAAAAACCTCAGCCCTTCTACCTCAGTGCATGTAACACAACAATGTGGAGAACAGCTTACGTAACTATTGCAGTTTAACATTATTGCTGAAAATTTTAAATAAATCAAGAGGCATTCATTCGTTTTCACAGAAATTAATATCCAAATATATCTTCAATAAAAATGGCAAATTAAGATATTCACAGCTAACATTAATTCATAAATACCTCTAAGAAATATGTTTGAAGTCAAACAGAAGAGACATACTCTCATTATCACAGAGTGATCAATATCATAAAAGACTTAAGCAAGATAAGTTTGAAGTCGCTCGGAGGAACTCAAATCATTGTATGCAAGTCAGTTTGTCAATTTTCCCAATTTCTTCTATAAAAAGGTAAATTGAAACTTACAGTCCCATTTTTCGCTAAAAAAAATGGGTCTGTTCGATTTCTATTTCTTTAATAACATATTATAGTGACAAATTTTTCCACAAACAAACCAAACTTATTGGGCATTATCTTGTCCCATAGATGCCTCAGCTATTAAATATTGATGTCATTTTGAAGAAATAGCCTTAAATATATTTAACATGATTTAATAGAAATAAAAATTTCACACAGTTTTATATATAAAATTAGAAAATGTGCACCTACTCACTTGATTTTCACTTATGGTCATCGTCGAATTAGGGGACACTTTTAACAAATCTTAAAGTGAAACAGCAGAGGCGCATATGGTAATAGTTAAATGAATCTTTTTCTAGTTACCATATACCAGCAATGAAAAGTTGAAGCCGGTTGCACAAGGCCTTTGTGTGTTATGAAGGAAGCAAAATTTGGATAAAAGAAAATGAAATTGAGGCAACTACTTAAAGGTCTGTCTCTTACATAGGTAAGAATTTATAAAGAACAAGTACAAGTACCTACTATAGTGGGCCAGCAATACTGCCACATAGTAGGTAGGAAAACTTATGGGCATTCGGGCGAACCATAGCGATAATCCACCAACCAAGCAACCTGAAAAGTTACACCTATTAGTAACTCTTCAAAGTCATCACATGAGATAGACTCGTGTACTAGTTGCATTTGAAGGTGTTTTCAATTACAAATATTGCAGTTGATTCAATATATATATATATATGTATATATATATATATATATATATATATATATATTATATATATATATATATATATATAAAATATAATATATATATATATATATATATATATATATATATATATATATATATATATATATATATTATATATATATATATATATATATATATATATATATATATATATATATATATATATATATATATATATATATATATATATATATATATATATATAATATATATATATATATATATAATATATATATGTCGTGCCGAATACGCAGAACTTGCGATCTTGGCTTAAATAGCAACACTCATCTTGCCATATAGGACAAGTGAAAATTTGTGTATGCAATAATTTCGCCAAAATCATTCTGAACCTAACGTAAAAAATATATTTCACTGTGTTTGTTTGGTATTAAATTATTGAAAACGAATCTAAAATATATTTAGTTCGGTTAGGCTAAAATAAATTTCGCTTGTTATAATAAGGTTAGGTAAGTTTTCTAAGTTCCTCTTTGTGCAAAATTATAAATTTTTACATCAACATTAATGAAAAAATATATCTTTAAACGTATGCGAGAAAATTTTAGAAAGGACTTAATTTTAAACGAGTTCTTGCTAATTGACCAGTTTTACATATTCGGCAAGACATATATATATATATATATATATATATATATATATATATATATATATATATATATATATATATATATATGTTATATATATATATTATATACATTTATAGATATATATATATGTTATATATATATATATATATATATATATATATTATGTATATATATATATTATATATATATATATAAAATATATTATATATATATATATATATATATATATATATATAATATATATATATATATATATATATATATATATATATATATAATAATATATATATATATATATATATATATATATATATATATATATATATATATATATATATATATATATATTATATATATATATATATATATATATATATATATATATATATAATATATTGTTTTTCATCATCTTATATAGATGCATAACCAACTGAGGAGGGTTTTTGCTAAGCTTACCTTTTTTTGTGACGTGTGTAGAGTTTAACAATCTGTGTATCTCATAGGCCAAGTTCTTATTCGAGTTTGTAATGGTGATAGGTGAAACCCTGATGGAGATACCTCCGTTGTTTTCAATTAGTGTGGCAAAGCATCCGATGATACTGATGGACCTTATCAGAATTGGTCGTGATTTTTTTTTTTATCACACGGCCTTTGCCACCGGGGCGGGGTGGCCCGAAAAAAAAAACTTTCACCATCATTCTTTTTCATCACTGTCTTGCCAGAAGGGTGCTTTACACTACAGTTTTTAAACTGCAACATTAACACCCCTCCTTCAGAGTGCGGCACTTTTACTTCCCATCTCCAGGACTCAAGTCCGGCCTGCCGGTTTCCCTGAACCCCTTCATAATGTTACTTTGCTCACACTCCAACAGCACGTCAAGTATTAAAAACCATTTGTCTCCATTCACTCTTATCAAACATGCTCACGCATGCCTGCTGGAAGTCCCAAGCCCCTCGAAACACAAAACCTCCTTTACCCCCTCTCTCCAACCTTTCCTAGGCCGACCCCTACCCGCCTTCCTTCCACTACAGACTGATACACTCTTGAAGTCATTCTGTTTCGCTCCATTCTCTCTACATGTCCGAACCACCTCAACAACCCTTCCTCAGCCCTCTGGACAACAGTTTTGGTAATCCCGCACCTCCTCCTAACTCCCAAACTACGAATTCTCTGCATTATATTCACACCACACATAGCCTCAGACATGAATCTCCACTCCCTCCAGCCTTCTCCTCGCTGCAACATTCATCACCCATGCTTCACACCCATATAAGAGCGTTGGTAAAACTATACTCTCATACATTCCCCTCTTTGCCTCCAAGGACAAAGTTGTTTGTCCTTGGAGGCAAAGTCCTAAGTGCACCACTCACTCTTTTTCCCTCATCAATTCTATGATTCACCTCATCTTTCATAGACCCATCTGCTGACACGTCCACTCCCAAATATCTGAATACATTCACCTCCTCCATACTCTCTCCCTCCAATCTGATATTCAATCTTTCATCACCTAATCTTTTTGTTATCCTCATAACCTTACTCTTTCCTGTATTCACCTTTAATTTTCTTCTTTTGCACACCCTACCAAATTCATCCACCAATCTCTGCAACTTCTCTTCAGAATCTCCCAAGAGCACAGTGTCATCACAAAGAGCAGCTGTGAAAAACTCCCACTTTGTGTGTGATTCTTTATCTTTTAACTCCACGCCTCTTGCCAAGACCCTCGCATTTACTTCTCTTACAAACCCATCTTTTAAATATTATTAAACAACCACTTGTGACATCACACATCCTTGTCTAAGGCCTACTTTTACTGGAAAAAATTTCCCTCTTTCCTACATACTCTAACTTGAGGCTCACTATCCTCGTAAAAACTCTTCACTGCTTTCAGTAACCTACCCCCTACACCATACACTTGCAACATCTCCCACATTGCCCCCCTATCCACCCTGTCTACGCCTTTTCCAAATCCATAAATGCCACAAAGACCTCTTTAGCCTTATCAAAAATACTGTTCATTTAAATTTTGTTTCACTGTAAACCTGGTCCACACACCCCTACCTTTCCTAAAAGCCTCATTGTTCATCTGCTATCCTATTCTCCGTCTTACTCTTATTCTTTTCAATAATATACCTACCATACACTTTTCCAGGTATACTCAGCAGACTTATCCCCCTATAACTTTTGCACTCTCTTTTATCCCCTTTGCTTTTATACAAAGGAACTATGCATGCTCTTGCCAATCCCTAGGTACCTTACCCTCTTCCATACATTTATTAAATAATTGCACCAACCACTCCAAAACTATATCCCCACCTGCTTTTAACATTTCTATCTTTATCCCATCAATCCCGGCTGCCTTACCCCCTTTCATTTTACCTATGCCTCACGAACTTCCCCCACACTACAACTGGCTCTTCCTCACTCCTTTCAAGATGTTATTCCTCCTTGTCCTATACACGAAATCACAGCTTCCCTATCTTCATCAACATTTAACCCAAATTTCCCCAAAATATTCCCTCCATCTTCCCAATACCTCTAATCTCCATTTAATAACTCTCCTCTCCTATTTTTAACTGACAAATCCATTTGTTCTCTAGGCTTTCTTTACTTGTTAATCTTACTCCAAAACTTTTTCTTATTTTCAACAAAATTTGTTGATAAACATCTCACCCACTCTCTCATTTGCTCTCTTTTTACATTGCTTCACGACTCTCTGAAACTCTCTCTTTTTTTTCCATATACTCTTCCCTCCTTGCATCACTTCTACTTTGTAAAAACTTCTCTATGCTAACTTTTTCTCCCTTACTACTCTCTTTACATCATCATTCCACCAATCGCTCCTCTTCCCTCCTGCACCCACTTTCCTGTAACCACAAACTTCTGCTGAACACTCTAACACTACATTTTTAAACCTACCCCATACCTCTTCGACCCCATTGCCTATTGCTCTCATTAGC